TTGGGTTAGATTAATCTTTATTTCCAATAAAGATGATAAATATTGGTTTAGTTCCTCCCATAAAGGTCTAATTTTCAGGCAATCCCACCAAATATGTTTGAAATCTGCAATTAATTCATTACATCTCCAACAATTAGATGGGGCTATAGGATACATTTTTGCTATTTTATAAGGAGTTCTATACCATCTGTTCAGTATTTTGTAATGAATTTCGTGTATATTTAAACAGTGGCAACATTTATATAGTGTATTAAGTGAATTATTCCATTCTTTCATAGTTATATCCTTTGCCAGGTCATGATTCCATTTAGTAATTGCCGGGGGGATTGATTTAATCTGAGTCTTATAGATAATTTTTTGACATTTATTAGTTGAGTGAGTATAGTCTGACTGCGCGTATATATCTGAAAGAAGCTTAACTGAGGGTTCAAGAGGGTTACGTCTTAGATATGTATTTAGAAAGGATTTTACAGTAATATAATTGAACCACTCGTTAGGAGGTATTTTATATTCAGTTTGGAGTTGTTCATAAGATTTTACTCCATTTCCTTTCAAGAGATTAGATATTATTTTTATACCTCGCAGAGTCCAGGTTTCCAAATTTATATCTGTCATTAGATCTGATAATGTACTTAGATTTATGCCAGGGATTATCTTCTTTTTTAAACCAATTCTTTTTAAAAAGAGACCAGGTGGGAAAGATTTGTTGAACTATCAACGATTTAGAATTTTTAATACATTGATTTGTTTCTTTATCTATTGCCCATATAAGGGTTTTGTAATCCCTATCTCCCGAAGTCAGAGTCTGTTCTCTTTTATACCAATTTTCACTTATAGAGTCTTCCTTATTTATCACCAAGACATGCACTAATAAATTAGCTTGTGCAATGTCTTGGATAATTGGAATACTCATACCTCCTTCATCTTTTTCCCTAGACATAATGTTTTTTTTAATTCTGGGTTTTTTGCCTGCCCAGATAAATTTAGTAAATGTTGTTTGGATTAATTCTAGCCAGCTGTCTGGGATCTTTATATGAATCATTCTCATAATATACGAGAATTTTGGTACAATATATGCTTTTAATGTATTTATTTTCCCTGACCAGGAGATTTCCAGAGTTTTCCATTTCTTTAGGTTAATATTTGTTTCTTTAATTAAAGGAAGGATATTCTCTATCCATTTCTTTGGATTTTTGGAATTTTTTATATCCAGATAATTAAAGTAGCTTTGAACTTGTTTAAATTCGTATTTATTTTCTATACTATCAATATTATTTTGAGGTGTATTTAAATATAATGCTGTAGATTTTTCATTATTTATTTTATAATTGGAAAAGTTGCTATAATTTCTAATAATCTCAACCACTTGATCAATGGAATCCTTAGGTTTCTGAATAGTTATCAGTACATCATCAGCATATAGCTTCATTTTTTGGTTATTATTTTCTCCAAGTCCTTTTATGTCCTGATTAGAACTTATATTTACTGCCAGGGGTTCGATCAATAATATGTACAATAATGGTGATAAAGGACAGCCCTGTCGAGTACCATTTGAAATTTCAAACCATTTGGACTTAATTCCGTGACCCACAGTTTACCTTGGGGATTGCTGTATAGGGCCATAATGGCACTGAGTATCTGATCTGAGAATCCAAATGATACTAGGGACTCTCTGACGAAAGCCCAGCTGACAAATGCTTTTTCTGCATCCAGTGACAGGGTCAGCATGGGAGTACATTCCTCTCTTGCCTGTTCCAGTATCCCTATCATGTTTCTTATATGATTAGTGGAGAGTCATCCCAGAATAAATCCCACCTGGTCTCTATGTATTATATGACTAACTACTCGTTTAACTCTGTCTGCCAATATTCCTGCATATACCTTAATATCTATATTTAAGAGAGAGATCGGCCGATAGCTATCTATTTTCTCTGGGTTCTTACCTGGTTTTAATATTGGGACAATATTTCCCTTAAGCATTTCCTGTGGGATTTTAGTCTTTAATATAAATTCATTAAAAGTAGTTTCTAAATATGGAGATATTTCCTTTTTAAATAATCTATAGAAAATCTCTGTAGATCCATCTGGTCCTAGCGCTTTATTTGGTTTCAAAGTCTCTATCCGTTTATGTATTTCATGTAGAGAAATTGGGGCATTCAGTTCTCTTAGTTGAAATTCTGAGATCTTTGGTATTATCTTATCTTTAAAATAATCTTTTGGGTCGAATTGATTATGAGGTAGATTATATAATGAATAATAGTAATCATTAAAGGCCTTTCCTATTCTCTCTGGAGATAAACAGGTCTCACCTTTAAATAAAATTTTGGAGATTTTTTTTTGTTTCATTTCTTTCTTGAGTCTATTGGTTAACAATCTATCTGCTCTATTACCTCTATAGTAGAAAGTTGCTTTTAATCTTTCAAGTGTTTTACTTACTTTCATTATTAGTAGTTCATTAATTCTATCTTGTAGGATAGAAATTCTGTTTGACCGCTGCTCGTTAGGGGTTATTTTATTATCTCTTGAGAGATTATATAATTGAATTTGCAAGCTAGTTAAATCTCTTTCTCTATAATCTCTATTCTCAGAGGCTAGTTTAATCAATAATCCCCTAATCACTGCTTTATATGAGCACCATATTCCTGAGGGGGAGATCTGTTCAGATTGGTTCTCTTTAAAATAATAATCTGTGTGTTTCTTAATAAATTCTATATTCTTTTTGTTTGACAGAATATTGTTATTTAATCTCCATTCTGGTCTTGGAATTTCAAATGTGTCTTTAACATCAAGAATGACTGCATTGTGGTCTGACCATGTAATTTCATTTATTATAATTAATTTTGTTTGTTGCGCTAAATTACGGCCATACCAGTCTGAAAGTGCCTGATCTCGTCAGATCTTAGAAGCCATCCAGACTCGGCCTGGTTAGCACTTGTATGGGAGATAAAATTAGTCTTACTTTACAATATACTAGTAACTCCCAGTGGAATTCCGTGAGATTGCCGCATTTGCATCTATATTAAATCATACAACTGTATAAAACCAGTCTTAGCCAGAATAGCATTCTATTCAAGAAGCATCCTTAATATCTTCATCCTCTTGTCTTCTTTTGATTTACAGTGAAAGTGAATCACTTAAAATTGAGCTGACTGTTTTTGGAAGGACAGTCCTGATTTTGGGCTGCTGTTCCATGATACCATTTTTTTCCCTTGTGTCCTACATTGTGATTGTTTTATTAGACAATTTTGCACTGTTAAAAAGTGTGATCAAGGCATTCAGCCACTGTAAGGTAGTGCTCTGTGAATTGGTAGCCCCTACACCGTTTTCCAGCATACTCTTTAGCAGGCTAGTAGCTAGGGATGTGCATGGGCAAAACATTTGGTTTGGTTCGGAAATTCAGGTAAGTAAAAAAATGTGTCTGCTTCGGCAGTTCGGACCTATGGCATTCGGTTTGGTTCGGCACTTCGGCAATTCGGAACGTTGGCAATTCAGAACTTTGGTAATTCGAACCCTAACCCTAAACCTAACCCCTAACCCTAACCACTTGTTTTGCCCCTAATCCCTTACCCCTTAACCCCAACCCCTAACCCTAACCACTTGTTTTGCCACTTTTCAGAAATCCACAGCACTTCAGAACTTCTGCAATTCCAAACGTCGGCAACTCAGAACTTTGGCAATTCGTAACTTTGGTAATTCGGTTCTGTTCGGCGCTTTGGAAATTCGGCAATTCGAATTTCGGACATTTGTAAGCATCCGAATGTCTGAATTGCACGAACATATCTACTAGTAGCTCTCCATGGTGGATACAATCATCAACATGGCTGCAGGCAAAGTTTCATGGCAGAGAGAGTTGGACTGACACACCAGGTTTGCAGCAGGGGCCTGACCATTGCATTTCATCTTCTTGATTACAATACAATAGTTGAGAAAACCCTCATGGAATAAACAGCCTTCTTTGTAGCTTAATATTCTCTATATCCCCATAGTGTGGCCTCTTTAGATACTACTGGCTTAGATATTCTCCCAGAAAGGACTTATAACAAGTTCTAATGGCAAGCTATGTGTGCAGAGAGGCAGAAACATGATATTGCATCATCATTTCACCACCTCCTCACACACTGTACCAGGGGTGTGAATAAGAGCCAGCAAGGACCAATACTGAAACTTTGTTTTAAAAACAACACATATCTCATAGGACAGAATGTTATGAAGACAGTGTTGCTATATTAATCTATTCACATACATAGTATGTGTAACTGTGGATATCTCCCCTCTCCAGTGACCCATCTCAGTGATGTCTCCTATCCCATCCAATTTTCTGTTCATATTCCAAAGTGCACAACTTAGACAAATGATACATGTGGAGATAAAAAGACTGTTTGTTGCAGATCATAAAAATATCACCATTCATTTAAATATCTAAGCTTATATGAAGAAATTAGGAATTTTATTTTTACAATAATATTGTTTGGTCCTTTTATGTGTATAAAATGAGGTAATGTTTTACAAGGCCCAAAATCTCCCCTGAATCTGAGGATCTCCATGCTGTTTGAAAACAGCTTATTGTGGCACTGGCTGCATGGCTTATAACCGTGGCCATTGGCATTGAACAATAGAGTTGGGTATCCGAAGTTTGAAGCTCTATAGACATGGTAGAAAACTGCAGTTAGCCAATAGCACTCATCTAACTTGGGCACCAAG